AAAAGTATCCCACATTTATTGGCTTAAAAATCATGAGGTGTCTTTAAGTTATCTAATGGGGGGTGAGGGGTTTCAGGCCTTGACTCATTATTTTCAAATTGTTGGGGTTAGTACTACTAGAAGTTTGGGTTGCTGCCGTCTTCAACAGAAGCAACACTGAGCTAGGATCAAGATCTAGGTCTAAACTTTGTAGCTCAAATTACTTTCCATGTGTATCTTAAACCAGAGAAGTAACAAACAGTTGGCCGCTTGCATTTCTAAGACAAAATTCTTAGGCGTTCAGATCTGGGGTTTTGTTGTGGGCTTGTCTCTAGAGAGAGATTAAAAATCTTGAAACTGTACGTTTTTGCTCTGATGAGAGAAAATGTACAGAGCCTGATTCTGATCTCACTTACACCAGCTAAACATATTAGCTTCAGTATGTCAGTAGCCTCACAGCAGCATTAAATTCATATAAAAGAGATAAAAATCAGGCAAACCGTGTATGTAAATGTTTCATGACATGTCTTTTAAGATCTCTTTCAGTGTTCGACAAAATGAATTAGCTTAAACAATTGCAAAGATATGGAAAACAGAAATCTTTGTTTAAAGAATCAGTGTTCTTTTGACTGCAGTGTAATCATATATGTGATTATATTTTACATCTTTTGCCATTTACATTTTCACAAAAGTCTTCAACTCTCCCCAATTAGCTGGTTGCTTGCATCATCCTCCCTCTAGTACAGGGATCTCAAACTCAAATCACCACGAGGGCCACATGAGGACTAGTACATTGGCCTGAGGGTTGCATCACTGACACCTTTTCATATAAAGGTACAAAAGACCCCCCAGTCCACCCCTTCCATGAGGCCCTGCCCCTGCCCCGCATCTTCCCACCCCTTCCCCGCCCCCATTCCAACCCCTTCCCCAAAGTCCCCACCAAAACTTTGCCCCCTCCCTGCCCCTATTCCAACCCCTTCCCCAAATCTCTGCCTCTTCTCTGCCTCCTCCCCTGAGCATGCGGCTTCCCGTTCCTCCCCTTCTTTCCTGGAAAGCGCTAAGCACCTCCAAACAGCTGTTTGGCGGCGGGAAGCGCCTGGAGGTAGGCAGAGGAGCGAGGACATGGCGCGCTGGGGAGGAGGGGGGGCAGCGGGGGAGGGGAGCTTGGCGGCTGCAGGAAATCACTCCAGGGGGGCGTGGGGAGCTTGGCGGGTGGAGCTTGGCGGGCCGCAGGAAATAACCCTGCGCGCTGCGTGTTTGAAACCCCTGCTCTAGTAGATTAAGATAAACCAGAAGCAAAGATATGCATTCACATCCAATAACATACTTAGGGTTCTCTACTGGGCCAATTTCTCCTCACAATGTAGTTACAGATAAATAGTTTCAGTCAAACTTTCAAAACATGGGGCCTGATTCTCCATTGCCTATGTGTAACTCACACACCTCCTAGGTGTGGTGCTCTGTCCCATGTAGTGGCACCAAGACCACTTAGAGATTAATGAGTCTTGTCTAAAGCCTTCATTAAGAGCCACATGGCTTTTAGCTCATGCAGTAGAGGCTCATGCACTAAGCAGCAGAGGGCCCAGGCTCGATTCCGCCTGCCAATGACTGGGGTCTGTCAGTGTTACATATGCACCTGGTGCTGTCATTTATATCTATGCATAGTGGGCAAAAAAAACCACTGCCGTATTAGGTTTTGCACTTAAGTTGCACACGTGTGTAATTAACTACACAAGGTGCAAAACCATAGAGAATCAGATCTAGGGCTTCCAAATGTGTTCATTACTATGCATATATAACCACTCAGGCTACAATTTTTGCACTTTTACTTCCATATAAAGTTACAGGATTTAGATGTGCACAACTCATCTATTTCATCAAGTGCAATTTCAAATGGGATCTGAATGTGCAAATTCTATCATTTTGGTAACAGTGTGCACAAATTGCACATTCAAGAGCATTTGCATGCATACATTTGCACACACACAAGTGGCACTCAGGTTGTGGCTTTTTTGAAAACTTTGGGCCTCTCTGTCTTGGTTTCAGTGGAGCTCTTCTCTGGTAAACAATACTGTATCTGAGACTGAGCAAATAATATTCAATGAATCTTAATCTGTCGAACTAGTCAGGGTTTTTTGTGAGGGGGTTGTTTTGTTTTGTTTTTTGTGCTAAAACACTTTATTGTACAGCTTAGTCTTCTGCCCATGGCGGAAGCATAGTAATGTTTGAGATTTAATTAACTTCATGTGGCACTGCAGAAATGGGTAGCAAATCAATAATGAATGCCATTACAGTCACCTTATGCTGCTATAATTCTCTGTGTTTGGTTGCACTAATGAGGTCTTGTTTCTTTGAGAATCACTTCAATAGCAACCAGGAGATTATTTTTTTTAATTGCTGATCTCATGTCTGTCACTGGGGATATGAAGTAACCTCAGCTGAGACTCTGTTAGTAGGGGCCAACGGTTTAAGACCCAAGAGGGGGGATATGACCCATTTTAATGGTGCTGTTGTATAGTGTTTCTCAGGCTGAGAAATTCTAAGTATTAAGCTTCAGTTGATGTAGCTGTGGAAATCGGCAGCTACTTTGTCCTTGTACTTGGTAGTTAACTGGGCAGGGGACTGGACTTGATGACCTCTCGAGATCCCTTCCAGTCCTAGAATCTATGAATCTCTGTTTGGTAATGATTCTTCTGGAGAGTAATGGAAGTAAGTGAGTCTTTAGCAAACACTTTAGCATTTGCTTTGAACATCTCCTCAGGGCTCTTTCTGCATACCAAGCAGTGGCAGCTCCAGGCACCAGCGCTCCAAGCGCGTGCCTGGGGCGGCAAGCCACGGGGGGCAGCCTGCTGGTCTCTGCGGGGGCGGCAGTCAGGCAGCCTTCGGCGGCACGCCTGCGGGAGGTACACCGGTCCCGCGGATTCGGCGGCGTGCCTGCGGGAGGTCCGCCGGTCCTGCGGATTCGGCGGCAATTCGGCAGCGGGTACGCCGAAGCCGCGGGACCAGCGGACCTCCCGCAGGCATGCTGCCGAATCCGCGGGACCGGGGATCTCCCTCAGACGTGCCACCGAAAGCCGCCTGCCTGCCGTGCTTGGGGCAGCAAAAAAGCTAGAGCCGCCCCTGATGCCAAGAAAAAAAATGTATCTGACAACTCACTTTAGGGATTGTCAGGATCTCTCCCAGGAAGGACTTATCTATATGGAGACTCTGACATCAAAACACTCTCCAGAACTTTTAGTGTGCAGTTGCAGAGTGAGCGGCAGGCTAGTGTGCTGTATGTTCACACCCAGGCAGGGCTGACGGGGCGGGGGGGAGGGAGCCGGTACAAATTACCGGGGCCTGGCAGTCCGGAAGGGGGCCCGGCTTCCCCGGCTTCACCCCCACTCTCGTCGGCCCTGTTTAGCCGGTCCGCCCTTGCTGGGGGACCCGAAAAAAAATTTTCACCGGGGCCCAAACCAGCTCTCGGCAGCCCTGCACCCGGGCTTGCCACGCACGAAGCCTCCATGTAGAAGTCACTAGTGAGAAAAAGTTAACTACATTGAAGGGTGCAAAACAGGAGTGCTGAGAATTTTACAACACAGCAGCCTGGACTGTTGTTAACCTGGAGAGCTGAGCTAAGGCAGCGTAATCTCCTTGCACATTCATTGGACCAATGGAATTTACTGTGGAGAAATATAGGAAAAGGGCCTGAGTATCCCTTGGGCCAGTTCATATGGCTGCCTGGTGTAGAGTAGAGGCTGCCTCCCGTTCATAACAGGGGGACACACCATTTTATGAAGCCTCTGGCCACTATATCTGCTATAGGCTTCATAATAAAAAAAATAATAGGGAGGAGCAGAGGTGGAAAGTGGTTATAACAGAGCCGCAAGGCCACTACATCAGGTCTCATGCCAGGATTACAGACCTGTACCACGCACTTTCAGGAAAGTATGTAAGCTCATTCCCTTCCATTAATTTGAATTATCACTTCCAATCGCCATTGTTTCCAGTGTAAATAGTTTCTAGTCTAAACAAATGCTCCTAGTTAGCACAGACAGACTCTATGTGGCATGGAAAATTTCATGCTACACCACATTGGCCAAGAAAATAATGCCCAGCGTTGCTGTAGTTGAAATAATACTGTGTGATAGGCAAAACGGACATGCTGTATGTCAGAGATAAATGAACATGAAAGGAGATGCAGCTTAGGTTTTCCCAGCATGCTTTTCTTTCCCCTGACTGTTTGCCCTCTTTAGACTTCAGAGCCTGTCAAATCTGCCAACTTCTGTAACTCACACCACGATAGGTACCAGACCTCACCCACTGCCCTTCATAGCACTGCTAATTCTTTGCGGGAGCACCGACGCAGTACCAGAGCCACCCCGAATTACAGGAAAATTACACAGTCATTCTGATAAAACGTATAGTGCTGTAACTCTTCATCTTCACTAATTTTTCTTTTTAAAACCAGGATTTCTAGGACAAAACCCAGTAAATATTGTGTCTGTTTGCACTGAATTGTAAATGAAGACGTTTTAAAAAAATTACATAACCTACCTCACTGAATTCATTCCTCTTCCAGCATCCTTTAACAGCTGTTCTTGAAATAGCTTTACCTGCTACTCAAGGACTGTACATAGGTGTGTGGTACCTTAATTTCTGTCAGGCTTGAACACAAAGGAGCATATATTCTCCCCAGGATGTATGTGCATAATACTCTGTAATGACTTTGTTGTTGCACCTATTAAGAAGGCAGCAATAGAGTTGTTTGTTAGAGCCTACAGGATTAATGAGTTTTCTCCTTGCAAGCTCTTGTCTTAACTCTCAAGTTGCTAGTTGGATTTTGGAGTCGATTATGTAGCTCACTGGAGTGGAGTCATTACATTGCAGTCCCATCTCTGGGATAACCCATTCCCAACATACTGTTAATATCAATGGAAATTTACATGTATGCACAAAGTCAACAATACACCTCACAACATGACCCTGACCTGCTGTGTGTTTAAAAAAAAGTGACCAACTCTTCTGTTGTTGCATTGCAGCTCCAGAAACTGAAAAGATCACTCTCTTTCAAGACCAAAAGCTTACGGAGTAAAAGCGCAGACAACTTTTTCCAGAGGACTAACAGTGACGTGAAATTACAAGTTGATTTGCTGCCTGAGGTGAGCACCAGCACCGGCCAGCTCCCCAGCTCAGAGAGCCAGACCTCCACACCCATCAAACTCCAACAGCAGTCTGAAAGCAACCAGGTTCATGTTTTCCAGGAGTACATCTTCAAAAAACCCACCTTCTGTGATGTCTGCAACCACATGATTGTTGGTAAGAATTATTTTGTTTGTGTGTGAGAGAGAATATGCAGAGTGGCCTTCCCAGACCATATGTGACCATAGAGATGTTCTTGACAGTACTAGTCCAAAGGAACTTGGACTGACGATCCACACCAACCAGCCCATTAACATGATCATGGGCTCCTTGATCTCACACTTCAAGCTGTGTAGTTAACACAGGTTGCAGCTTGACCCAAATAACAGATATCTCCCCATGATGACACGTAGGTATCACAACTCAGAAGCTATGGAGCCAAATTTTGCCCGGTTGGGTTTTGATGAACATTGGTTCCTGTTGTTCTGTATTGCTAGAAAATATGGTAAAATGTCATTCCTTATAATGAATCAAATAGAACGAAAGTCCCACACTGTTTCACTGCATTCCAAAGTGTTAATTACTATTCTGATTCATCCTACAGAGATTACGTATAAGTTCGCCCAGGTGTGGAGGCTTGCCACACCAGCTTTGCAATAGTGCTCCAGAAGAGGTAGAGAGAGGGGTGCAGGCAGGATGGCGGCACAGAGGCTGCATCCTCTACATGTCATGGGGGGTGGGGGTCCATGCCAGCCATCAATAGGCCAACAGGGAGGCTGTTACTCGAGAATGTTGGCCGGCACACTCAGTGTTGCAAATGATTCACTTCACCTGAGATGATTATCCTCCCACATACAATGATGTAAAGCAGGAGCAATTCCACTGAAATCAATGGAGTTATAACACTGTAAAAGTGAGTAAGTGAGAGGAGAACCAGGCCCATGTTATTCCTCAGGAAAAATTAGAGTGGGGCAGTGAATACTTTCATGTAGAAAAAGTGACAAGCTTCCTTGGCTCAAGCATTAGACAGAAACCTGCAGCAGCGCATATTCTTCAGTATGGTGGCAGATTTCAAAATGCCAGGTGTGATGTGAGAAAATATGTTTGTTTTCTGAGCTGTACATTGGACCAGTGCAAACTAGTGTAACTCCATGGAGTTCTGGGGAGCTGATGAGGATGTGGCCCCTTGTCTGTTGTGAGGTTCTCTGGCTTCCTTATCTGAAGATGCTAGTATGCTCGTTTTTTCAGTTTGCGGAGTTGGTGGTGTCCTGTCTTAGCTTTTCCAGTGTTTCTAGGGCCTGGGGCCCTCCTGCAGAATTTTTAAATGGGTGGTGGGCCAACAGAAGACATTGCCCTGGACTTCAGCTGTATTTAGTGATATTCCTATTGTGACGCTCTCTAAGGGTACTCAGTGTTGTGAGGCACCTCACCACTACCTGCCCTTAGCATGAAGGAGTCTTGTCTGTGCTTGCTGTGGGTCAGCTTCTTGAAACCACCAGCCTCTGGCAGCACAAGCACTGCCTTCCAGGCCTCTGTAGGGCTTGCTCTCTTTGTACAGGTAGCGATAGGTACACACCACCTCCCAAGTCCTCAGAGCATTACCTGCAGTGTCTAGCCCTTTCTCCAATGAACACCCACTGAATTACCTAGGCCTGCTGTTCCCAAAGGAACAGCGCACACCAGTTTGTAAGATTCAACTCAGGCCATTTATTTTGCTTAACACCACAGCACTGAGATGTATTTATGGTGAAAATAAGAATAAGTTTATTATCAAAGAACAGAGATTCCAGTGATGGAGAGTAAGAATATTGGAAACAAATGGCTACATACAAAACAAAATCATGACATGCTTTCTAGAGACTGCAGTGAAATAACAGATTAACCTTCTCTCTAAAGAAGTTTATCTCACCCAAAGTCTACTCCAGCATTTTCAACCAAGCCTGGTTGTGACCTCATTTTCAGAAAGAAATTTGCTGTCCATTTACTTCCTTGGTGAGGGATGCCCAGGCATCTCCTTTGTCTTCCTGCTCCCCCAAATATACTGAAGCAAACCTTTCATGTGCATCTCAAGATATGGTTCTCTCCAGCAGCTGTCTTTTTCTTACTGTTAGTTTCTTTCTGAAATTCTTACAATTCTTCATTTGCATTCAGTTCAGCCTGGTGATAGGAGACCCAATTTGAATGAGACAGTAACCAATTTATGTGTAAACAGATGGATAAACATCTCTGGACTGACAGACCCTGTTTTTCACCTTCGCTGGTGACCAGTGCCTTGATACAGACTCAACAGATTTTCAATGTATTTGCATAACTCCTTGCACAACATCCATACATGTATTTTGTGATGATATTGGTGAGCAGTGGGACACCGGCTTTCATCTGAGACCTCACATGACATTTTTTTGGTGAACTAGAACGCACATACTAGAATTAGGAGGTCCCTGTAAGCCTTCTATACCTCCTTGCAGAAGAGGTTCTGGGGTCACACCTATGCTAAAAAGGAAGCCTTTGAAATGAAAATGTATTTTAAATAAAGTTTAAATATAACATGGGAGTTGAAGACAGTGCTACTTGCTGATCTTGGGCACACAGGACTAAGCCCTATCTGGGGACAGGTCATCAAGTACTATCATATATAAGGTTTATAGCCTTAAAAAATCTTGAGAGGAGGAGAATAGTTTCCTGTTTGAGATCAGAGGCCAGGAGGATATGAGAGAGTATTAACACCATGGAATACTAGAGGCCTAGAGCAAAAGAAGTATGGCTGGCGTGGGTCTGATTGAGGACAACAGGTTATTTAAACCAAACAGGCCAATGTGGATTTGTTCTCAAGTATTAGTTTCAAAAATGTATACAGCTGAGAATATAAGCTCAGAACAACTTTGCTTCCCACTCTTCACATTTTTAACTGTCTCTCACTAATGCTGTGAATGATGTAGATTAGTAAGACTGCAAACCAATACAATTCCAAAATATTATTGCTCTTTTGTAGGTAGGTGGGGCCAACTCCCTGCAGCAAGCACAGCTCCTGGAAGTCCAGTTCTTATACACCCTTTGCCTTTTTTCAGCTTCCTCCATGACACAGTTTAAACAGGCAAGGCCTGAAGCAGGGCATACTACAAAACATCAGTTTGGCCCTACCTGCATCCTGAGCTGGATCTCCCCAGGGCTTCCCCTTGAAGGGCTTCCCACCCCTCACTTTAGCCCTTTTGCTACAGAAAGAAACCTTTTATCCCTGCTGAGTTGAAGCTAATGTGACCTACTTTCTCTGGCTGCCTGGATGAGTCAGGTGAATTGCTCAGACCTCTGCTATGCAGCTGTTGGTGCATCTTCCACTTGAAGGTGCAAGGAAAAGGTGTTTCGAGTTTTATTTTACCACATGGTACTCTACAGTCTAGACACCCTGTAAAGTGACGTATGGAACTGCTTCTATTACAGCAGTCCTCTCCATCTCTTCTTCCCATAGCCATGTCTGTTATAGCATTGTATTATGGACTGCCTGTGGAAACTGAATATTAATATTTGATATAGCTCAATTACTCCAGATAAGCTGTGTAACTATGGGCCATAGGGCTGTTGAAACAAAACAGGCACTTTGGGGGGAAATCTCATCATATTTCCTGCTTCCAAATGAAAAAGCTTGTGCCAACCCACTTCTGCCCTGGTCAGTTGTGATTCTGAATTTTCATTGTAATAACATAACACCTTTCATTCTTTCCATTCATATTTTCCATCAGCTGTGATATTTAAGTGTATGAGTGTATGGCTCAAAATTCTTTATTGATTGGAGTGAAGGGAAAGGCTGAAATATGTTTTGAAGACTTGTAAAGGTCACTGAGAGAAAGAGTCCAGGAAAATCTCCGCTTGGCTTCAGATGGTTTGATTTTTTTGTCATCCGGAAGGATTCCAGGCTCACTTTAAATGGAGCGCTGATCTGTGAACTGAACAGCACAGTTGGGTATGGTGCTGAATGATGAGCTCTGCACAGCATGCTCTTCTATCCTGCCAGTGTGTCAAAATCTTACTGTAGCTTAAGAGCTAACAAGAAACTTACAACGCAGACAGCAGGCTCTCTATGCTGCTCTTTTCACTGAAGGCAAAATTAAAGTGATGGAACATGAAACATCATCATCCTACAGAAAATGTGCGTATCAGATCCCTCTTTGTCATCAAGTACAATGAGCCCAATTCTGCCTTTCAGTGTGGGCTCCCTTATTGTCTCAGTTTGTTCCTTTTACAGATGTAGAGTCAGGAGATAAAGGTCAAATACATATAACTGGTTTCAATATACAGAATAGGATGGGTGCAATGAAAAGCTACTTTAGTGCTTTTCATATAGTGCATCCCAAAATGCATTACAACCCATTCAAAAGCACTCACAAGGTAAAATTCCTGTGGAAATGACCAGGACATGGAACAATAATATGCTTTAAGCTTGGGCTTAAAGATGGGAGGCCAAGTGTTGCTCTCAGTTTTTTGGGTGCAATTCCCTTGTGCTAGAGTGGCAAAATGAGCATTTGTCACAGAGGCAGTTCTTGCCTGTCAGACCAAACAAGGGAGAGCCTTCCACATTCAGGGGAGCACGAAAGGATAAAGGGAGCTCCCATCTTAGGGCAGTTTCTTGCAGTAGTACTTTGGGTATGTCTACACTGCAATAAAACACCCCCAGCTGACCCATGTCAGGTGACTTGGGCTTGCTGATCTTAGGCTGCAGAGCAATAAAGTTGCAGTGTAGATGTTTGGGCTCAGGCTGAAGCCTGCACTCTGGGACTTTCCCCCTTCATGGGCTCCCAGAGCCCAGGCTCCAGCCTGCGCGCAAATGTCTACACTGCCATTTTATAGCACTGTAGCCCGAGCCCAAGTCAGCTGACACTGGCCAGTCGTGAGTGTTTAATAGGGTGACCGGATGAGAGGAACAAAATATCGGGACACCAGGGGGAGCAAAAGAAAAAAGAAAAAAAAAAAAAGTCAAGTGCTGCCGGCAGAGCAAAATATCGGGACAAATTGTGTCCCGACCAGAGATCTGTCGGGACATGGGACAAACACCGAAAAAGATGAACTTCAGGCCACGTTAAGAACATAAGAACGGCCATATTGGGTCAGACCAAAGGTCCATCTAGCCCAATATCCTGTCTTCCTCAGATTTGTCACCTAAAAAGAATGGCTCAGGTTTGGGA